ACACAGCCAGAAAAAAATCCAAATGAGATGCTTATAAACCTGTTTGTTAGTTTGTAATATGCAAAAAGACTGACCAAAGGAGTAACCATAGTGTGTCAGACCAAGGGTCCGTGCAAGCCAACACCCTGCCTCCAACAGCAGCCAAGAGCAAGGACCAGGGAAAGACCATAACAATATGACAAGTATATATGACTCCTTCTCCAGCTAAGCCTTCCAGGCTCCAGCGGTTTACAGCCCAGCAGCTATGTATTAATGTTTCCTACTGTCATAGGCTGTGAATGTTTAAAAGGAAAGCTAAGGTTAGGTCGTAAACAACTAATGCGATTGGAATACTGTATACTATTTGTTGTATGGTTTGTTTTACTTATTTTTAGGTATTAAAAATAATTAGAAGAAAAAAAAGCTGTAAATTAGAGCCTTGTAACAAGTAAGTGGCAACTGTACTAAACACTCATATGTGTCTTTTTAAAATCTTGGTTTTAATGCACAAATCTTAATCTGATTGAATGTAAATTTAGGTATCTAAGCCAAGAATCCAAATTAAATTAAAACATGCTGTAAATTCCTTTATTTCCCTTAAATAGTCACATCATAAAGCAACACGAGGTGAACATCAGCCTGTACAACTGGCTTCAGGTTCTGACAGAGTATTAGCAATCTGGAGCTAAAGGGAGTCTCTGCCTACTCAGATGGGCTTTGGACCATGTCCCAGACGTTTGTGTTGTTTTTTCGAAAGTATGGTGGTAACAAGACCAATATAAGTTCAATAAACACAAAAGCACCCAGATCCCAGTGAGAATATTTTCCTTAATACAAGCACTTCATCTTTGACTTCAAAAATCTGGCTCTCCATGGTGACCAAAAAAAAAAAAGAGACTCAGAACTAAAATTCATAATTCCCCTGGAAACTATTAAAAAATCATTCAAAGTGAGTATCAGTTTTACGGTTCATCTCTATACAGCATTCTTCAGATTAAGGTCACCACAAGTTGGAGACATAACTATTAATGAAATTAATGTAAGCATCTCGGTTGACTTGTTGAAAAGTAACACTTTTTCAAATAAAGCACTACTTATTTGCTGTTCTCTGCTAAGAAAGTAGTAGAGAGCTACTTGACATAGATGATAGATGATATAAAGCATGCAAAATGCTGAGAAATTCACAGTGAGGAAGGTTAAGAGACACAGAAAACTTGAAACTAAAAGAGCCCCTTTTTGTCATTCCTTCAGAAAGCTACTCAAACTCTTCCCTTATGGTTTCTCATCTTCTAGAACTTCTTGTCCAAATATATCCAGTATCACACAATAGCACATGCAAAGCAATTCCATTTTCAAGCTGTACACTCAGTGTTCCAGACTACCAATTTATATCCAAGGCAATTCTTTCCATGTGACACGTCACTCATTTTGGTAATTTCTTTTTAAATTAAGTTGAAATTTTAATAGCTACTCATTTCACAAGGTTAAAACCTCTCAACTTGACCCTATGCAATGGGGCAGAGGGAAACAGAGAGGTTCTCCATTCTGTAAGGAGAGAGGGAAGATAAAGGAAGCACAGGCAGAGGGAAATTGCAAGTTGTACCAGGGTTCAAGGGTACATAATCAAAATAAAAAGCACCAAATGTCACAGTAGAGTCAGAGACCCAATACACACAGATGTGCCATTGTACATCTATATTACACTGTACCATTTATTTTTGGACATGCTGGATAACAGAACAGACTTCACAGCAAGAGGAGACAGAGTTCTTTGCAAGAGCTGGAGTAATATTGGTCCATTTGGGAGCTAATGACACAGAAGTCAACAGAAGAGCCTAAAAACAAGGTTTGAAGAATTAGGCAAGAAAACTTAACTACACAGAATAGTCTTTAAGTAGGAGTAGCAGTCTTAAATAAGGACCTATTGCATAAGAGAAATTTATGCTTGCATGTTACTCTTATACTTTCACTTCTTGCCTGTTAAACTCCCACGAGCTGTAACATCTTATCTGCATAAGGAATCTAAATTGGTCTTCGAAAAGTTTTGTAGACGTTTCTATTTTGTTTGAAAAGTTACTTGTTTCATTTCTTGCCAACTACGACAAAAAACAAGCCCTTTACCACAAAACACAGTGGGTAAAGGAGCATTTGGTAAGCAGCAAAAACGGATGGCGAGGGTTTTATTTCAGCTTCGCTTGCCATAGGGAGGGGAAGAGACCCAGGAAAACTGAGGCACTCAGACCGTGAAGATCTGTAGTGGAAAGATAAAATGGCTGGGTGGCTCTCTTCTATAGATGATTTTAAACATTTTAGAGGATGAATGTTTAAACCAGCTTATTTATAACATTAAATTTGGGAGATAGAGATGCAGACAGTTATTTCACATTAATCTTGCTTCCCCTCTAGCAGTTCAGGAGCTGGTTTGTCACCACGTAATTACCACCATGCTAACCACTTCAACGGTGTTGGGGTTCTCAAGCTAACCTTTCCAACAATTGCTAGCGCAACCAGTCAGACACTGAGCGCCACCCCTACCAAAAGCTGTCCAGGAGGGGCCAAGATTACACTAGCCTGAAGGCCAAAAGCCCCCTTCCGATGGGAACTCCGACACTTTGGGATGCTGGCAGGACAGCAAGGCCACTGCTCACCCCGCTGTTCATACCCACATGCTCCCTTGCTCTGCCAACACAGAACCTGGGTTTCTGTTAGCAGGAGTTTAAGAGAAAGACCCATCGTCTCCCATTTTTCAGTTAATGCCTTTGTTCTTGTTAATACCACAATAACCTTTCCTCTCACATTAGAGAGTGAAGTTTTCTATTAAAATTTGTGTATTTTCATTAATGTAGTCCACAAGGTAGCTATAAAAGATTTTATTTCATCAGTATTGAATACATATGTTTTCTCCTTTCTAACAAGGATATAAGCAGGATCCTTCTTCTCAGCCCTGGGTAGAGCAGAGCCCTTTTCCCCACCCTCCCGATACGGAGCACAGTTTTCCCTCCTGCTGGCAAAAAGTCTAACCCATTTCCCATTCTCTTCCTTGGTAAGCAGTAGAGTCTTCTCCCATGAACATCTGATCATAGGCAAAAATAACAAGATTCAGATAGGGAGGGGGGGAGAGTCCTTGTCTCATAAGAACATTTACTATACATAAATTTAGCTTTTGTAAATACTATTATTATCTTAGACTCACAAAACATAACAGTAATAAGAGGTAAGGGGGGAAAAAAACGGTAATGGAAGTAGAGGGATGCATGTGTTGGGGAATCAGCTGAGGTTGCTCTTGGCTTAACAAATATGAGCCCAAGCAGGCAGGAAAAGCAGGGTGTTTGAAGTAGCACACAAAAGATGAGGGCCAAAAAACTTATTAAACTTGAGTGCTTAAATTTAAAAACAGGACAGGTGTCCCCGAAACAACCAAAACTGACAGCAACATCAAAGCTGACGTACCTGATTAAATTATCTCGATGTCCCAGTATCGGGCATCTAAGCTGGGAACCTCCATCTACATCAAGTCAAAAGCTAAATTTTTATTAAAAAGTTTAAAAAAACATGTAGGGACATTGTTAGAACTGCCTTTGTACTAAGGGCAATATAAGCTGCCTATTATTTTCAGGTACTCACGTGACATTTACATGGGTCGTGAAAAGCATTCAAACCATTCATCTGGCAAGATGCTGGGACACCTGTTTGCTAGAGGAAGCATGCTAGACTTAAGACGCTAGCCTAAAATCAAGGACATGTAAATTCAGTTCTGCTTCTGTCCCTGACTGCACACACACACACACACAACGTACGTGAAGGTAAGCTGGGCGTACCACCTTCTGACCTACTTTAGCTTCTATTACAACATGACTTGAGGGTCTGCAAGAACATTCTTGCAGAAATTATACACAGGTTTGTTTAGAGTGGGAACCTCATTTAAGGGCCTGCAACCTACGTAAAGAAAAAAGATGCAAGCCAGGAGGGAGAGAGACAGATGACCTCCCCAAAGTTACACAGCAGGTAAGTGCTAGAACTAAGAATTGATTTCAGGTCTTTTTGACCCTTGCCTAATGTCCTGCTATGTCCCATAATTGCATTTCTCCAAACAGAAAGCAAGTTACCTGCCATTAACACGTCCTTCACCACAAAACCTCCTCAAGTCTTTCGCCACCACTACATACCACCTGAACAGCAATAAAGAAGTGCTGCAACTTCTCCCCACTCTACTGCTTCTACGTGGTGCAACAGGCATGTCTCTAGATGCTAAGGCTAGGGTTTTAGTGCAGTTTCAATAATAGTTATTTAGTACAGAGTGGAGAGAGTATACGCTTTTCCTCTTCAATGGTGCAGAAAGTATCTTTGAGTCAAAGATAGTTTTCATACTGATTTCCTCTCCCTCCAACCCCCCCCCAAAGTGAGCGAGCTTTGGTTCTTCTTGTACATCAGAGCTCAGAGATGATTACAGACTTGCTAAATTAACAAAGACAAATTAGGAAATCAACATCACTTATTTCTTAAAAATTACCAATCATTAATTCCAAATGATAAAAATGATTGGCTAAAAAAACATTGCTTGCATTTATAAAGATGATACAATCTAGCCAGCTTAACCTATCAGCATATAACTACCCTTTCTTAGCTGATCTTATCCTATGAGATAATACTACTTAGTTTGTGCTTTATTTGAAATCAGATAAAACGTTTAGACATGTTTATGTTTTAGATGTGCTTGTTTTCATAAACACTCTTCAGGAACTGGATGGTGGAACATCAAATGCAGTGCAATTTGCAACTGAGTACCCAAGAACAGGTCTGTGTTACAAATAACAATTATAATTCAAGTTTATCTCCACTACCTAAAAGGAAAAAATGACTACTCCAACATCAGGGACACAGCAAGGAAAGCACTTTCTGAATACATAATGCAGCATGGGTTTCATTTTTATACATACTTTAAAAATTGTAAAGCTTGTGAAAAAGGCACAATGACGAGTTCCATATTTTAGTCAACATTGAAATAAACCCTGTAACCTTACCGAGCAAAATAGCCTTGTCTTCGTTCCTTCTTCTCTTCCTTGGTCTCCATTATGTACAGTCAAATAGGCAAGGTGAGCAGACAAGCGTGGTGCTCTTTTTCCCCTTAGTACCTCATATCCAGGCAGAGTCCCCTGTATATAACATGTGAAAACAGGAAGTTTATAAATCAACATGTCAACAACACCTACAAAAACCAACAAGGTTGTGGAAATGCAACTGACTCAGTGACAAAGCAAAGTAAAACTTTAACCAGTCAATGTTTGCCATGTGATATCCAATTAGTACACAATGAGAAAAAAACAATAAATGCACTCAGACCAGTTTCTCTAGCAGAGGAAGAGAGATACTGCAAAGCAGGTAACCCAAAGAGCAGTAGCAAGTTTTAAAACACTAGAAGGATTAAAATATTTTGCAAGCTGTTGAATAGTTTATACCAGAACATCTTCCTGGTTTCGTGTGTTTTATAGACAGGAAGATCAAGAGAAGCTTTGGAAATATCCAATACAAACAGTATAACCAGAAAGATATATAATGTTCACTTTATAAAAATTCTGTAAAATAGTGAGAAATAAGAAAGTTTTAAAACAACGTAAAGGAAAAAAGAGCAATCTACATTCTTTACACAGGTTTGACTGTTGTGAACAATACACAAGTTAGATCAATTGCTGTCCAAGATTTCTGCCAAGATGTTTTATCCTCTTTACATTCAAGCTACCCCAACGGCTCATGTACATGCACAAAATAAGTTAACTTATTAAGAGTTCTTTATCAGTATTCCAGATTAAAGTTCAAACCAGAAGTTACTACTAAACATTTCAGTCTAATGGGCTGTATAACAAAGAAATGGAAGTCACATAAATTACGATTCGTACCAAAAGAAGAAAAATTCCTCCAGGACCTAATCAGTTTCCATTATTTTCCCCTACATTAAAAGATCATAAGCAACAAACTACCAGATGTCAACAAAAGAGATAATGTAGCAAAAATAGACTAATCTACTTGAAAAGCCCAAGAACATATCATTCTAGATTCTATCAGAAATACTTGCCATAATTTTCTCTCCATATTTATGGAGCATTAGTCCACAGCCATTAAAGTCCATTGCTTCAAAATGCACTTTTTCTTACTCATTAAGAGTAAGATGCACATCCAATGCATCAAAAAGAATCTAGTCTCTCTGATCTTTATGCATCAGGCAGAGTCTTATAGTAATGGTCACTCTTTAAATGGCAAATTTGCCTATGACAGCTTTGGCTTCATAAAGAGAACACTATTTTACCTCTCCAAGTGAATGCATGTCGCAGTCTTCAACCGGACACAGAAACCTACATGACAGTAGCATAAGAATAGCATCAAAACAAATTGCCCTGCTCAGATGTCCAGTCTGTACGAAGATACCACATACTTCCTGAGAATTTCAACGCATCCTTATTTTCCCTGCTGGAGCATGTCCTTAGATCTTCAGAGAATCAGAAACGGTGGCTTTGTTAGCACTGCATTTAGAGTTACAATAAATCTTTCAAAGCATGCAACTACAACCTCTATAGCAAACTACAAAGAGTTCAAAGAAAAAGGAACCCCTCTTTCCCCTTTGCCTGCCTTGCCTTCACTACACTCTGCAGTGTATGGGCAAGGGCACTGACGGGCCAGAGTTGAGTCTCACGCTGACACCAAGAACGATCAAATAACCACAGAGCACCAACATAACATTAAACCCATGACCACGAGGACAGTGGGACCCACGGGAAAGAGAAGAGGGAAGTGGGGACAGCCCCTCTCACCTCATCGAAACATGAGCAGGTGGGATGAACAGAGGGAAGCGAGAGCTGTCCTCAGGGCCTCGGCCTGTGCACCTTCCGTTCATTCCCTTCCTCTCCCACGATCGACCGAGCCCAGACAGGGGAATACCAGCCCTGCTCCGGCACAGTGCTAGCAGATGAAGAGAGCCAGGAGGAGAAAACCCTGCCTGCCCACAGCCCTGTCTTGCCCAGTGCCAGAGCAGCCAGCCCCTGCTTCGGCAAAGAGGGGCACGAAGAGAGAGGACATAGGGCTTAAGCCTAGACCTAAGCACAGATGCTGCAGCACCAAACCAGCGCGGCATTGCTCAGCTCGCCAAGGGTAAGGTTTGCTGTTTGCTTTCATCAAGCTAAACAAAGCTAGCAATGACAACGCAGGTACGGAGCTTGTTCTTCCCACATCAGCTAAATGCAACTCCAAGTCTTTTCCACACGGTGAGGGGTAATAAATCAAGAACTTTAAAAAAAAATTAAAATATTCAGAACAGATGGGTACTCAGAAAACTGGAATGTTATCCATAGACCAGAAGTAACAAAGGCATTCAGCGATTTTTTTTTTTCTTTTGCTGATAAAAATACCCAGGGATCTCATATCCAGTCACCAATTAATGAAAATTTTCACAATAAAATAATTTAACATCAGGTTCCACTCTGTTGACTTAAAACTTATTTAGCTCACCTTCTTAGAAGAAACAAAGGTGGTGTTCTAGGAAGGCATATTTAAGGCTGAAAATTATACTTTGAAAATGTAGTACTAGGGGAAGCAAATTGATTAGGAGTGCAGACTTCATAACCTCTGAGTTCACTTTTGTTGTTGGGAATTTTTCATGTACTGGTTGGCTTTAAGGGGGAAAAAAAAAGCCTGAAAGCTAGGAGGACCACAGCATAACCTGCAGTAACTGCTACTGAAAACCAGTATTTCTGAAAGGTCCTTTTCAATTTTTAGTTCTTTAAGCAGTAACAGTACGAAAGCCACGTTTACTTTATAGGTTGTCACTGATGTTTTAAAGTTACATCAAAAAAAAAGTAACCCTACTCCACACTTCCCCCCCTACCTGTCCTTTGATATCTCTCAAGAAAGAAATTTCAGGTATTCTTTATTAATATTAACTGCTTAAAATGTTATTGAGGATATATGATTAAAATGAATCTCACTTTCCCAGTAGCTCCTTTCTGGTAGAGACAAAGACTGAATCAGGCAGACTATTAAAAATGTACATATTTGGGGGATATTTATATGCTGGGAGACAGACATCTTACTCATATATCATGAGTACAGTCCAAACTCAAATGATGACAAAGCTGATTTTGTAGAAATTTCAGGCTCAGTTTAACCCTTTCTACACTAAAACTGAAACGGACAGCTATACATGTCTATAGCATGTGCTACACGTCTATAGCAATGCTGATTCTTTTATTAGGCAATTTCAAAAGGAAAGATATTCCTGATGGACAAACAATGCATTTAAGTAAGGATCCTGTTAAAAATTTGCTACTCTCCAAATTCAGCCAATGTCAGCACCTGATAATTACATCAAGAAAAGAACAGAATACAGCAAAAAGTACAGTATATTTTTATGTTAGTCCTATTGCTCTGGATTTTTTCCATTTATATTAGCATATTTTCGGATACTTGCTTTGTCTGTTTAGGCTTGCTGCCAGGGAGTTTTGGGGGTGTTACTGGGAGTTTGTAACAACAGCGGGAATGCTCCACCAAGGCCCCCCACACGCACCAAAAAAAAAAAAAAAAAAATATCACAGGAACAGACTGAACTCCTGACTGTGGGTACCCACACCACTGCAACGGCCACCACCCTCCCGAGAGCCCCAGAAATGCTGCCTCCAGCTCCCGCTGCCCGCTCTGCCACCTGGCACTGCAGGACAGCAGCCTCCTGTCATGGTACATTCAAAGCAGCAGCAGATGCTCTAAGTGTGAGGATAAACAAAGGGGAAGGGAACTATATTTTTGAGGGGAACATTAAAAATAGAGTAGAGCATCCTAAATCCTCTAAAATGTTGATAAATTTTTCTACTTTAATTATTTTTCCTCTCTTTTCCCTCCTTTCTCAGGCATGAAGAATAATACACCTTGCTACTTGTAGTTTAAGCAGTTTACATTTTCATGAGATAACAAAAGGACCTGCTCGCTGCGCTCAGGGGTAAGCACCCAGAATTCCTGTTTGCTGGCTCTAAAGCATCAATGATCAATCCTCCAACTGCGAGCATTACTTCCCAAAACTGAGTACATAAACAATAGCACAGTCAAAGCACTAGCAAAGCAGAAGTCAATGAACTATCCGATTATTTTTAGAACACTCAATGGACTTGATAGCTTGTCTCTGGCCATCTGTGCCCACTGCAAGTCCTGGAAAGACATACAGATTAAAAAAAAAAAAAAATGTTCAAGATCGTGCAATTCTCTCTATAGATTTTCATAGTCCTGCAGAATCAATACCTCTCAACCAATGAGGTAGGAAAATGCTCTAAGTCGCTACTTTGCAAATGGGGAACTGAACTACAGAAGTTCCTCCACACACTTAAATGAGAGCAGAAGAGCAACATGTGAAAATATCCTCCCACCAGCTTTAATCCAATCAGCCCCAATAACCAGCAGCAACGAGAACAAGGAAGGAGACTAATTTGACAAGGAGCTAGTTACTATTTTCTGCGTAAAATTTAAAGTGACAAACTTTGGAGACCCATAGCACAGTCTCACCTTTATTTGCCGCTGTGGGCATATGCATAGAAATTAAAGCTCAGATGCACAAGAGGAAATAAAAATCCTAACTCCTCTGAGGATCTAGGTTTAAATGGCTCTCTCAGCTCCTTCAGGAAATATGTAAAAAAGCAATGAACTGAAATTAGGGAAACCAAGTCAAGGATAGCATCCTGTACCTTACCAGGGGTCCCACAAGGCAAGCAATGGTGGCAGAGATCATACTGTGAAAAACAAGCAGGGGAGATGAGAGGCCTAAGCACAAATTTTCCACAGTTAGGAAGACGGAGCAGATTAAGGCGGAAGACTCCCAGTGAGACAGCCAAGCGGACACAGCCATGCCAAGGATGTAACGGGGAGACCCCACTGTGCCGAGGGAACAGGACGCTGCCCAGACACACCACGCAGCCCGCACCTGCTCTCTAGCGCAGCATCCCACACAACATTAGTTGTTTTATTTTTGCTTCTCTATTTTACCTCTGCCCCTGAGACTACAGACAAACGCCGCACAGGTCTGCTCATAGTACTGCGTGCTTCCTTACTATCATCTGCTGCAATACAAGCACTCAAATGTTGCCACCAGTCACTTTCGGACATAAAGCATTACTAACAATTCTG